AGGAATCAAATCTCTTATACCAATACCTCGGCGCCTGCTTTAGACCGTACAGAGATTTGTTCAACCTGCAAACTAAGTTCTTCTTTTCGTCTTCTTCAAAACCTTCAGGCTTGAGCATATAAATCTCTTCTTCAAGATTTCCATGAAGAAAAGCTATTTTAACATCTAGCTGTTCCAAATGTAAATTCAATGTAGCACACATTGCCAAGACTACTCGAACTGTTGTTAGTCGAACCACAGGAGAAAAAATTTCATTGAAATCAATACCTTCTTTCTGAGCATATCCTTTGACCACCAGTCTTGCACGATACCTCTCCACTTGATCGTCACCATTTCGTTTGATTTTGAAAACCCATTTGTTACCAATTGGCTTCCTTCCTTGTGGTAGTGGCACAAGGTCCCATGTATTATTTTTATGAAGGGCTTCGATTTCTTCTTGCATCGCCATCATCCACAGTGAAGCATCTGAGCTGTTTATTTCCTCCTGATATGTTGATGGCTCACTGTCCTCTGTTAAAAGATAGTATGCAACATTTCCTTCTATAACATAATCTGAGTGCCAATTGGGACGTCTTCTCACACGATCTGATTGACGAGTTGTTGGAGCTTCAGAACTCTCTGGTTCTTGTTCTGCTTCAGAAGAATCTCCTTGTTCAAACTCATTTTCCATATGTATCTGTGTAGTCTCTGACTTTTCAGCGCTGTCATCGTCTTCTTTTCTTTGTAGCTTATCTTCTACAAAGATAACATCCCTGCTAATGATCACTTTGCGGGCAGTGGGATCCCACAAGCGATACCCCTTTACTCCATCAGCATACCCCAAGAATTTGCATTTCCTGGATTTTGGATCCATCTTTGAAATTTCTTGGGCGTTGTACATCACGTACACAATACTTCCAAATACATGGAGGTTTGAATAATCAACTAGTTTACCAGTCCACATCTCCATTGGTATCTTCAGCTCTATTGTAGTTGATGGAGCTCGATTCACCAAATAACAGGCGGTATTGACTGCTTCTGCCTAGAATGATTTTTCTAGGCCTGCGTCCCTCAACATTGCTCTTGTTCTTTCTAACAAGGTTCTGTTCATCTGCTCTGCCACTCCATTTTGTTGAGGAGTGTTCGCTACTGTGAACTGTCTTTTGATGCCTTCTTTCTTGCAAAAGTCATCAAATTCTTCGCTTGTGTATTCTCCTCCATTATCTGTTCTGAAATACTTGATCTTATTTCCAGAATCAAGTTCCACCCGTGCTTTGAAGTTTTTGAAAGTTGAAAACACGTCTGACTTCTTCTTAATAGGGTGCACCCAACATCTCCTGGAGTAGTCATCAATAAATGAGACAAAATATTTTGCTCCGCCTAGGGATGTAACTGGTGCTTTCCATACGTCAGAGTGAACCAGTTCTAGAACACTTTTGCCTCTAGAATTTGATGTGTTGAATTTCAACCGGTGCTGCTTACTTGTTATGCAATGCTCACATAAAGTAAGTGATACCTTTGTTAAGCCTGGAAGTAGCTTTTGCTCCACAAGGACTTTCATTCCTTGTTCTGACATGTGTTCAAGTTTCTTATGCCATAGCATTGCAGAATCTGAACTACATGAGGCAACAGAGGTTTCTGCTTCTAGCGATGTCTCTCCCTTCAGCATGTACAAGTTTGCAGCTATCTTTTCACCTTTCAGCACCACAAGCGCTCCACGGAACACCTTCATGATTCCTTTCCGTGTTTCAATCTTGCTAGCATTATTATCCAACAATCCGTAGGATAATAAATTTTTCTTCAGACCTTTCACGTGCCGCACATCTCGAACAACTTTAATTGTTCCATCATACATCTTCAATTTGATGGTTCCCACGCCAACGATCTCTAAGGCATGATCATTGCAACTATACACAGATCCTCCTGAGACAGGTTCATAATGATGGAACCATTCTCTTCTTGAGGTCATGTGATATGTTGCTCCCGAATCAATGAGCCATATATCTGCAAATCGTTTTCTTCCTTCCACGGTGGTTGACGCTTCACAGCATAGAGCATCTCCATCATCTGAAGTGTTTGCGGTATTGCCTTGTGGATTGGAGTTTTCCTATTTTAAATTCTTCTTGCTTCTCGACTTCGATCTACCATGTTTGTGACTGCTGCTTTGGCCACGTTCTGTTGATCTCCCTCTCATCGTTGTCATCGTTGTCAACGCTTCTGCTTGTTGCAGATTTACTTGTCTATCTTCCTTGTTCTTGCGCCGATTTTCTTCTTGTAGAACAGCAGTTGCAACGTCATCGAAGACTAGACTGGTGACATTACTGTTTGTCAAGTTGATGATGAGTTGATCATATGAATCCGGTAGACTTTGAAGTAGAAGTTCAACACGTTCTTGTTCTCCTATTTTACAGCTTAAGGATGAAAGCTGAGAAAATAAAGTGTTCAGTGTATTTAAGTGCTCCGTCACTGAAGTAGATTCTGGCATACGGAGAGTGTACAATTTTATCTTAAGGAAAATTTTATTGTACAACGATGTGGCCTCGTACAGTTTGGTGAGATGATCCCATATCTCCTTAGTTGTCTTCTTCTCCTCGATACTTGACAATACTTCATCTGCTAATGCTAGATGAAAGTTTTCCATAGCATTTCCGTCCATTTCGATCCATTTGTTGTCGTCTGTGAAATCTACTGGCCTTTCGCTGATAGCTGCTAGACAATCGTCTTTCCTCAGGATGGCCTTCATCTTCAATTTCCACAATGAGAAATTTCTCCCATTGAACTTTTCAATATCAAATTTTGTTGCCATTGCTTCGTTTACGGATAGCTCCTACTATTTCACTATCGTGAATAGTTCTCTGGAACCTTCAAAGAATGGGTAATAACTTCTTACTTTCTTATGTTGGAGGATCCACCTTTTGGTGGCAATCACAAAGACAATAAGCAGATATTACACACTCTAACCTGGTTCTGATACCAATTGTTGCGGAAGACGGCTATCGGATAGAGCAAAATCGCAACTGATAATTTGAGAAAATAAAAATGAAGATAAAAGAGACAAAATTTTCGTGGAAAACCCCTAAAAAATTTAGGGTAAAAACCACAGACAACGGTAGAAGAATTTCACTATGAGAAAATAGGAATTACAACCTCTTTCGATCTACCAAGGAGAAAACAATGATAATTCTCCCTTGATAAAAAGGAGAAAACAACTCTCAAGAAACTCTCTAAATTCTCTCTAGTATTGGAAGAAAGCTGGAATGCTTTGGGATGATTTTGAAGCGAAATGAGATAGGGTATTTATAGCTAAATCTTAAGGACTTAATCTTGTAAATACCCTAAAGTTTAATGATTAAAATGTTATAATTATCCTTTTTTTTCAACAAAATGCAACCATCTTTGAATTAAATCAAAGTAGTTGGCTGCCATCTAGAAGATTAGCCGCCCATGATGACTTTTAATAGAAGAAGCGTTGGTAAAGGTCCAGAGAAGTGTTTCTCAGGCTGATATCGAGAAACACAAAAAATGGTTTTCTGAATTCGGATCTGTGTAAACAAAATCCAAATCCTTTGTTTCTTTTTTTTCTTCTCGAGGGTATATTGAGTTTTGTTTGGTTTCGTGATATATGTGCATCAAAAGGAAGGGTGTTCAATTCACTGTCATTTCTTAGTTTGATTGGAATTTGATTTATTCATTAAAAAATGGTTGATTGTTTGTAATCTTAGTGTTTATGAATGTTCTAACATCGTTGATACATAAGATAAGTGAATTTAATTTTCAGATTTTTATAATGACGCGGCATCAATTATTTCACTAAAGTATATAAAATTTGTACAATGCCAATGCATCAAATATAAAATAAATATTATAATAATTAAGACGGTTAACAAACAATGACAGCATACTATAGTTGCTCAAATTCGGCTCCTTTTTAGAGTATAACATTATCTTTTACCATCAATATCATTTAATAAATCTATATGTATTTTTTTATATTTTTATTTAACTAATATAATGATAACACATACAAAATAAAATAAAAAATCATGTCACCATACTCATTAAGCTGATGGCCAAAATAGAAAGAAAAAAAAAAGTTATAATTAATGTCAGTGGGACTCTCCGATGGTGGGGTTCATGTCTTCGAGCCCCTTGAGTCTGAAAACATATGGACACTGCCTCCGCAGTTGGATAACGGGTCAGCCAGCAGTTATAGCAGCAACACCTTCAGTTGGAGCTCAAGGATCGGAACAAGCGTCGAGATGATGATGATGAAAACGGGTGACAGTGCACAAATTGTTTTATATGCTTGGCTTGCGTGCCCATCCTCTCTTAGTTTCTTTTCTAATAATACGCGGTGATTATAAGGTAATATATATTCATAATCATTTTTAATCTATTAATATTACGATCATTCTGAAGACATAACTTCTCGAACTCATAACCTTAAGAGAGAACAACACTTCATTTAACCAATAAGGCCACTCAGTGTTATTGTTAGGTATTGAATTCCAAAATAATGCAGGTCATTCCCTATTTTGATCTACAACTGTATCCAAGTCCGTTATTACACAATTTCAGGGTTCGTAAGAACAGTAGAGCCAATTAACTTACCAATTTTGCAAATCTATTTCACATTATAATTTTGGTTGGGAGCAAGTTGCACCTCCAAGAACATACACCTTGCCTTTTTCTCCCTTCATGATCATTTCTCAAATTCATGGAATATAAAATTTGAAATGCCTAATATATTTTTATATTTGACAAGTCTATGCTTTTATTCTTTAAAACTATAATATTACATTGAACTTTTTAACTATTTATCTATATACCATAATATTCATTTTCTTTTTGCTGAAAATCCAAATTTTCAAACCAATGTTTCCAAACGGATAAAAATAGAACTCTATAAATTTATATAAACAAATATTGAATACGACTACAAGCAGGTAACCACTTTAGCAAAACAATGAATTCCAATATAAATAGAACTCTATGAACCTAAAATTATAAAAATAGAATTTACCAACACCTGAAGCTTATTTTGATACAAGGTGATGATTTATTTATGGAAACATGGAAAGCCAATAGTACATGTATGCTCTTCTAAAATGCATACCATTCATGCAGTTAAAGCTCCTCTCTAATTAGCTTAGTCAACCGGAACTTCAACCTCCATTTTTAGTCCAGAGCTCCCCAAAACCTGTGCCATAAATACAAAGCAATGCTAATCACCAAAGAACGTTATTTAAGCAAAATTGCTAAGAAAGTGAAACCTATCTTGGAAAATTACTTAAACAAGCTTTTCGATAATGTAATAAACATGCACATCACTTTAGATCGTTTCCGCTGTTTTATAAATGTTTCTCAATCGCATTGTAACATTGCAGAATATGCAAATATTTATGAACTCATCTTCTCTTTATTAGAAGTGCCAAATTCCTATGAATTTGTCGCTAGTTCCAGGACGTGCAGTAAATGCAGGAAACAAATATAACAGAATTAAGTTTTGCTCAACAGAATATGAAACTTTAAAATATAGCATAGTAATTGATGGTCCGAGGTCTTTCATCATTAATAAAAGTCCCATCATTCATATTACAACCAAATAATCAATCAAGAGAAAGCATGATTTAAATTTTAAGTAGGTAATTGGGGCATGTAAGGCCTATGTTATCCTGAATCGAGGGTGGGTGAATGTATTTGGGAGAATCACTCATTGTTTACAGTATATGCAGAGCCTAAGACTAATTAGAGTGGAAGGAACGTAAGTGAAGGCAATTTCCAGGGCCTTTGATAAATAAAAGACTAGTGTTTTGAATGACCTGATCTTGGCAATGTGGGACTTGGTCATTGGGAATTAGATATTCTGCTTATTGTTTAGACATTTTAAATTTGGACATTAGACTGATTTTGGATGGACTTCATGCATTGATGATTTACAAGTTCGATTTTGGTGATGCATGCCGTTAACGTTGCTTGAAGTATTTAGACAAGTATGATCTAGGTGCAAGCATGTTGGATTTTTTATGCCATATATTGAGATGTATCTTGCCAACATGAAATTGACTATATTGATCTCTTACTATATCCTCTCAACTTTAATCAGACTGGTCTCTCCCTGAAACTGATTTCCTTTGACCAGCCTAATAAATTAAACTCTTATGCAGAAAACAGAAGAATGAAAACTATAATAATAAACATAAACAGAATGGAAAGCACCTTAACGAAGTCTTCCAATGTTAGGTAAGAGTCCTTTGAGTAACCTGCTTCTTTCAAAAGCTGGGTCAAGACTTGCTGCAAAAGAAAGAACAAAAGAGTAAGATGTTATCGCACGCTGCTGGCATATGATTAATCTAACATGATGGTACCCTTAATAGAGAAACCATAAAACAGTCTATCTCATCCAAAGTAATGTTAAAACCGAAATGAAATTGAAATATTTACTTATATAAAATACAGAATGATGTTTAAATCTAAAATCATTATTCAATAATTTAAAGAAAATCTTAACAACGCAGTAGTCAATGGCACCAGTCAAATAGTATATCATACGATGCAACCACTTAATCATTAGTAGTCATTAGCTAGTAGCCACTTTTGCCCGGTGCATGCTTTTCAAAACCAAACACCCTACTTGAGACAGCTTTGATAAAATGGGAGTTTACAACTACCATGGGAAATTTTGCGAACAACAAAAACTAAAGTAGAAGTGTATAAATTCACCAACAGCCTGAGTAAAGATTTTCTGTCTACCAAGCTATTTTCTACAAAACCAAAGAAAAATGCAGAAAACATTTCCCAAAAATAATTTTTGCATGAAAATGACCTTCAGTTAGGGTAATCTCAATTGAACTAATAATGAAGGTGATCATTGCATATATTAATCAGATGAAGAAAAAATGAACAAATTAAACGCTTCTTTTAAATCCCTCCATATCTAAATTGGAGTGGAAGATCCAGAAAGTCAAACCAATCATGCAAATACCTTTACAAGATTCATCATAAATGAAAATCATCTGCTTCAGAAAGAAAATAAAGAAAATGTAAGGGACCGTACAAGATCAGTTTGCTCCCTTTTACTCTATGACATATTGTCGGAGCGACCAGTTAATTCTTTTTCCATATATTGGTAGGTAGTCAAATTGTCAACTTGAGACAAAAAATATTGTATAAATTTCTTTTTCACCTTCAATGTTATTTGAATTCATATGCAACGAAAAAATGTAAATAAATTAATTACAAATAAGACTGTTTTGCCTTTTTTGCACAATGATTCTCCATTTCTCCTCTTATTGCTGATTCTTTAACAGGTATTTCACTTTTCTTTTGCATCACAATCAGATATTACTAATAGGATATGTGAATTAAATTCATTCATTGAAATTGATGTTTTCATTGTCGTTCAGCATGCTAACAGAAAAAGTGCACTGGATATCCCAAAATGGATACTCTATCAGCATATCAAATAGGTTAATTTATGCATATTTTATCCAGGGAAAAGTAAATTATCATCAGAATACAAGTAATCATCAACGCTCACTTGCTCTTTTATGTTCTTTACAATTGGATGACATAACAATAAAAGGGAAAATCATAAGAGGCAAAAATAATTGGTTTTACCTCTCTTTGCTTATCCGAAATAAATGAACCAGACAAGTCACGTAACACTTCTAGTATGTCATTGAAAGACACTTTTCCATTGTCGTCGGAATCATACACTTTGAAGATAACTGAAACAGAGAGAAAATCTAATTTTGAAACGCTTTTCAACTTCTATGAGCAAGGGGCGATAAAAAGGAACCCCAAAGGTAATCATCGTAACTCTTTTACTTGTTGTGACCATTAATTCCAAATCAGATTGTACATAAACCAACAAAGACAATTGCTCTAGGGAAATGACAGTGAAAACTCACGTTTAATTTTCTGTTGTACACTTGCTTTAGCAGTAAACGCTGACAAGAATGCAACAAAGTCCTTAAAGTTCAAACCATCCACCATCTTAAGCAGCCTCTGTAAATGCAACAAATCCAATACATCAACAGACAAACTTTAGATCAAAGAAAAGAAAAACAGAACAAACTCAATCCTTTGCATAAAACTCTAACACAGCACGCAAACGCTGACATTGGACAACGATTTATATTCACATCCCAGAATTTAATTAATAACTCCAATAACATCAACCGGAAGACTACCTGAGAGAGCGGATTCATTGCAAACTCTGGAACCGATAAGAACTCATCAGCAGATATAAATCCCTTTGCATTTCGATCTAACTGACAAAACCTTTGGTACAAAGAAACAATTTCCTGCTGAGAGACTGCATTCCCACAGTCAAGAACAAATCAAAATTTGTATAATAAAACAACAAAATGGAAGAACCAGTAGGAAAAATAAAGCATATAGAGACAACCTACATAATCTCTGGCTGTGTTCTTGAACTTCTTCGATATCATATTGAGTTAGCATTGAAGAAGAATTGCCCATCGTGTCTCACTGATAAAATCTACAATTTTTCACCAAATGCAAAAGAACCAACTAATCATTAACACTGAATAAAGAAAGCCAATCATTCAATCAATAAATATACAAACTATGTTTTAACTTTAACGGATACAAAGAAACCGAAAGGTAGAACTCAAGATGCGCATGCAATAAACTAGGCTTGTTAAAAGTTCTAATCGGCTAACTACAAGTAGGTACCTCTATATTTTGAGAAACAAAAGCGAGCCCATCAGTCATTACACCAAATTTACCCAGTACCCATCAATCAGAACATTAATTACCATAAAAAAAAACCCTACTTTTCAAGGAATTGAAGGGGAACAAACCTTTGAAAACTTTGGTTCCAGAGAAACAGCGATAAACAAGAAGAAAATACAAATTTATGTGAACAGGTCTAACTTGAAGTGCAAAGTAAATACCTATTTTCTCTCTCCATTTTGGCTAAATACCTATTTTTTTCCTTGTACTTTGACTTAATTTTCAGCAATGTACTATGTTATAAGTAGATACTAGGGTAAACTATATATTTAGTACATAAATTATTAATTTTATTTCGTTTTAGTATTTAAACTTTCATTTGTTTTAAAATTATACCTAGTGTTTATTTTTGTCTAGTTTTGGTACCTCGACCATAAAAACTTAGTGAAATTATTACAATAAGGCATCTTTTATGGGTAAATTACATCATTTATCGCTCAACTATCTTCTTACTCCTATTCTAACCTTGAAGTTTATTTTTTTTAATTTAATTACTTAACTTTCAAATTACTCAATCACTCTAACTTTTAAATTTAATATTTTTGTTGTAATTATATATTAATAAATAATAATAAAAAATTTCATATCACAAAAATTATTAAAAAAAATATATTAAAGTGATTAACACATGAGCAATTAAAGTTGAGCATTTAAATTGAATTTTTTTAAACTTTAGTGACTAAAATAGAAGTGAGAAGATAGTTAAGTGATAGATGATGTAATTTACCCATAAAAATTTCCACGTGTAGCCGTTTTTTAAGTTTTAAATGGCATGATACTAATTAAAATGAAACAAAAAATAAACGTTAGACATGATTTTAAAACAAATAAAAATTTATGTACTTAAGCGAAACAAAATTTATAGTTTAGGTACTAAATGTACAATTTACGCTAAATATTATTAAATTTAAATAATGTTACAATACCAGATTCAAATTAATTGATTAATAAGTCAAATACATGTGGTCATGAAATTGTTATTTTGGTGTGAATATTTAGTACTTAAAATGACATAACTTGAGGGAAAATATTAATGCTCTCCATGAAGATTAAATTAAAGTATTTGGTAAATAAGAATAGGGATAGATCGAAGGGGCCGGAGTCACCTCCCAAAAATTTAAATTATAATATATTTTAGATATTTTTTAATTTTTTATTGATAATGTATTTTTGCCTCTTAAAATTTTATAAATGTATCATCTCTAAAATTTTAAAAATTCATCTCCCTAACAGAAAATCTTACATTGGTTCTAAATAAGACCAAACATCCAACCACTAGATCAACTTAATAAATTGTTATGTTTTTAACAAAATTAGTGTATACATATATGTATGTTAAATTACAGTTGATATTGAGTACAAGGTTCTTAACCTTGAGGTCGTGGGATCGAGTCCCACGGAAGGCATTTCATAATTCGGAGGTCTTCTACGGAAGCTGCTCTCAACCTGGTGTTAGGGGTAGCCTACTATCTTACCTCCTCCTTACCCCATTACACATTAGAACAAGGGACATCCATATATGTATGTTAAATTACAGTTGATATTGATATCATTTATTTAAAGATATAATTTTATAATATTTATAATATTATATATATATCTTATAATTTATTTTAAATATGATAAAATATTATTTATAATATAAATATATTATTTATATAGATTAATTTTATAAATATATTACTTATATATATTTATAGGGTTAGCATTTACTTACCCAATGTAAGATTCTTTAGTTCTACACATATTTAAAATCGTTGGATGAGTGAAAATAGATAGTTGAGATTGACTCCTTATTTTTTTTTCCAATGAATATCTTCTCATTTTCTATTGTTAATATCAACCATCTATTTTCAAAATTTAAATCTTTTTATCAGAACATGTAAAACTTATAAATCATTTGTCACTATTTAAAAATAAAACATATTACCACTCGTATATAAATCAAAATACAATTACATGCCCCTAATCACATGTACCATACTCTGCAACAACGCCGGAAGAACTCCCTTACTGAAGTCGATAGATGCACTGGTACAATTCTTTTAACCTGAAAGGTGAGTAATAGAGTGAGCTTCGAAAAGCTCAGTAATACAGAACTACCAGATGATGCTGAAAAACGTGCAGATACAGATAAACATATTTTCCTTATTGGTTCAGATATTTACAGATCTTTATGTTGAGCTGAGGTCCATTGATATCGCATGTAGTAACAAATAGTATTCATTTCAGATGGAAATATTTCGGATGTCTAGGTCAGGAGATCAGAACAGGTTTTCTAGTGTGTTCCCAAAAATCATGTAACTTTTCAGATCTTTTTTTTTTTAAAAACATATATAATATACCCCCCCATCCAACAAGTCCAAGTTGTGTAGGTTCCCCAGAACCATACACCCACCATCAAGTCCAGTTGGCCCTGAGCACACAGCCGAGGAACCGGTAAATAAGGCCCTGAGCACACAGCCGAGGAGCCTCCAGGTATACTTCCTCCAACATTACCCCCCCCCCCCCAAGTAAGATATGTCCGTCCGTAAACGGATATATCAAAAATCAAAACATAAATCAGGTCAAGTATCATATCAGAAATCAGGTCAAGTAACAGATCAAATCCAAGTCAAGTATCAGATCAGAATCCATGTCAGATATCAGATCAGAATCCATGTCAAGTATCAGATCAGAAATCAAATCGAAAATCAGGTAAAATATTCATGTTAGGGAACACACCAGAATTTACAGATAGTATTCAAGATATTGGATAATCTTAACAAGTAGGGGAACACGGATCTTTAGTATACCGATAGAATATCGGAATTCAGAATCACTATTGAAAGAGTTCAATAACTGACAGAATCATCAGTTATTCAGAAAGTGACTTGAGCTGATAAGGAAGAAATGAAGGTTCAGGACATTTATATTATCTATCGATTGATCGAATTATCGGACAACTCTTAGATGAATAGTTTCCAGAACTAATGCCTGTCGATTGGTCAATTCATTGTTCTTCCAGGTATTTACTCTTTAATACCACAATTCTTATCCATAGACCATTTTCGAAATCATCGTTGAATAGATCTTCCAATGTCTTTATTTCATTTCCACACTTCCACAATATCATGAAATACTGACGTACTTGATTAATTTGTTCATAACCCATTGTAATTGTACACTACGTAACTTATCAGAGTTTCCAGACTTATCCAAATCACTTACTAAATCCTCAGTCATTGAGGTTACCTATTCATTTAGTAGTAATCTCCATTCCAGTTACTTCAGGATTTTCCAGAGTAATTCAAACGTTCCTGAATTCAGATACATGTTGTACTTCCATTCCATTCAATTTGGTCTTCATGGTTGATTGTCGAACAAACGTTCAATTCTTAGTACTGAATACAATCTAGAGCTGAGTTGAATACTTCCAAAATTTATCATCGAGCCAAACTTGAGAAGACGAACACATGTTCTAGAATATCTATGTCATTCAGGTAGACATAGCTTTAAGGTTGATCTATTCACTTAAATTGTTTTCCATTACCTTTAAAGGTAGTCCAATACTTATGCTTACTTGGATTCCTTAATTAATCCAAGACATTTACTTAATTTAGGCCAAAAGGGTATTTTGGTAACTTGATGTCCATTTTTATTCCATCATTTCAGAGCTCGAGGATATCCAATCATTCCTGAGCTTGGTGATATTCTTGGGTCATTTCCATTGTATTTTGGTCATTTTACAGATCTACGGTATTTCAATCTTTTCCTTCCATCCGGTCTTATTATTTAATTCAATCTTATCATTTACTTTAGTCCTTTCGAATAATTTCTAACAGTAGAATACCCCCTATAAATTATTCTTCAAGTATTGCTCATTATTCGGATTTTTCGAGTCAAGTGTCTTCTCATATTTTACAAACGGAAATCATGAATTTTCTATACAAAGTCATGATCTTAATAATTAAATCTGTACTTAATCGAGTTAAGTACGAATCCCCTAAGTATTTTCTCATTCAGAGTCAACTCAGACTATTCTATCTCTTAAGGGCATTTCCGTAATTTCTTAACCAGATAATTTCGATATTAGCTCTTAACGAAAATAATTATAATTTAGAGATCCTATGATTAATTGATTTCGTGAACACTCTCTGATCTTGAAATGATTTCCTTAACAGACTTCTAATATCCTTCAAAAACCCTCATAAGACTAAAAACCGGTTATCCGCATTTCCTAATCAAAACTAGCATTTCTTATGCACATCAATAGTTTTACCAGATCAATATGTCTTTTCAGAGTTATTAACCAACTTCCAGGGATAATTCTTATCATCTTACACATAAGGGTATTTTCGTAATTTTACCCTACCAGATTATTCTCACAATTTCTCATCCAAGTACTTTTTAACATTTAACCTTTGATGAAATAAATTATAATTGCAGATACAGGGCTGATTTCTTTATCACATCACAAACTTGTAATTTAATCTAACAATTCCTCAATCTCTTATATAGTCATTCAAACCGTAATCAGTTACAGAATTCTACCACATCATCGAGTGTAAATTATTCAACTCCACCAAAGTGTCCAACATTATCTTGTTCATGCATTTATCAATATAAACATGTTCCATAAGCATAAAGAGGTAGTAAAGTATTACCTCGATTTCTGTGCAATACTGATCGACCATAAAAATTCCATTCGAATGCCTTTGATCCTCAATTCAGCTTCCAATAATTCCTCAGATACATATCAACATAAATTATATCATAAACGAATCTTAATTACGATAAACGGATCGAATCGGGTGATAAATTAGTGAAATACGGCTTACCGGGTTCGAATTTGGCGAAACGGACTTCGGATTCGGATTCAGGACGTCGAAAGCATAAAATATGACTTTTTGGAAATTTGGAATTTTCGGTCAAAATCAAAGTCAACGGGTTTGACTAACAATTTCGAGGCCTTCGGCTTCGAATTTCGAAAAACGGACAGCGGAATCGGATTTGGAACGTCAAAAAATGTCAGGATAGGTATACTCGGTCGAAGTCAAAGGTCGTTTAATGCCCGATCAAAGCCGGTCAAAGTTTTGGTCAACAGTGGTCAACTCCGGTCAACGGTCAACGGGTCAACGGTCAACGGGTCGGGTCAACGGGTCGGGTGGGGTCAACGGGTCAGGTAAATGGGTCTGGTCGGGTCAACGGGTCGGGTCGGGTTATGACCGGTCAAACCGGTCAAAACAGTTCCAAAACCGGTCAAACCGGTCACTTTTCCCTTCCCCACGCGCAGTGGCGGCGCGTGGGGGCGCGTGAACAGTGATAAAATCCTGGAAAAATTTCTAAAAATTATTTTGAGCAATTTCGAGATACTTACAAAGCTCGGTTCATAATTTTGAACGGCGGAGAGCTCGATTTCAACGAATCAGAAACTTTGACCGCTTCACCTCCTCACGCGCCGCCGTGGACGGAGACCAAGGATGACACCGGCAAACTCGGAACGATGCAACGAACACGATGGTGCGGGAGGTGTCGTAAACGGATGACCCGATCGTCGTGAATCGATGAAAAACCAACTAAAACCGAGTTATTACCGACGATACTTCCGACTGAAATTCACGACGAACGGCGATGATTCACGACGAAAGGTTTGTGGGGTTTTGTTCCTCGGTTAACAACGAACACGATGGTGGTTTTGGCTCGTCGTTTGGAGGTCGGACGACGAGTAGATCGGAGTTCGAAGTAGGGAGAACGGGAGAGGAAAACTGGAAAATTTTCCAGAAACATACGGCAGTCTGGGGGTTTATAACATCTCATAATTAAAAATGGCTAAACCAAGAGTTTAGCCACTGAACTTCCTGCACTTCTTAAAACGGTCTGCCATCTTTGAAATCTTACAATTTAATCCCCAAATTTCTTCCAAAAACCAATTAAATTCACCATTTTATAATTTCTTAAATTTAGCCCCTAAATTGGGGTGTTACATTATATATAATATAACCATGAGTATTTAAGTATCTTTCAAGTAAATAACTAACATCAACTAAAGAAATTATCATAAATAATCGATAGCTATCAACAATGGATACGATGAGTTTCACAATTTGATCCATGATTATATTTGCTTCCCTCCAAATGTGCTTAGTAATTATTTATAAATTTTGTACAAATATATTTTATATTAACTATATATATTAATAAATTTGATATATGTATATTATAGATATTTTTTTATTTTAAAAACATAATTATAAATAATACGTAAAATTAATATATTCATAAAATTATATTATAAATAGAGAAAATAACCTCATTGACCAAAAATGTCTTATAATATACGATTTTAACCAACTTTTTTTGGATTTGCCAAAATGACCAACTAAATCGCAATGCGATCGTTAATTCGCAACGCGATCTCGGGTATCGCAAATCAGTTTCTAGATTCGCAACGCGAACTTCGACTATCGCAATGCGAACTTGGACTATCGCAATGCGAACTTCGACTATCGCATTGCGATTTACATATTCGCATTGCGATAGTCCAAAATCGCAACGACGATATTGTATTTGTTTCTTAAGAATTTTCTCTAAAAAGATAGTATTCGCGCGGACGTGTCGAAGTCACGTATTACCACGACCACGACCACGACCACGACCACGACCCGAGACGAGACGGCGGCGCGCGAGAGTCCCCCTTGTTCTCTATCACTCAACAAGGAAGTGAGAAAGCCAAGCCTTAAATACCATTCCCAATAGTGTTTCCAATACTATGTGGGATTGAGCATTACCAACACTTGTTCCCAATACTATGTGGGATTGAGCCTTAAATAGTGATATTATTTTTGAATGTTTTGCTTAAAATTGCAATAATCACGATTGATTGTAGATTGACTTTTAATTATGACATATTTAATCGTATAATACTAATGCAATTGGTTGCTGATTCAGTTGTTTTAAGGTGCATGATTGTTAATTGTTTCATGAATAATCACATTGTATTGGAAACAAGTGTTGGTAATGTTCAATTCCACATAGTATTGGAAACACTATTGGGAATAGTATTTAAGGCTTGGCTTTCCCACTTCCTTGTTGAGTGATAGAGAACAAGGGGGACTCTCGCGCCCGCCGCCGCCGCCGTCCGTCTCGTCTCGTCTCGTCTCGGGTTGGGTCGTGGTCGTGGTCGTGGTAATACGTGTCTTCGACACGTCCGCGCGAATACTATCTTTTTAGAGAAAAATTTTTAAGAAACAAATGCAATACCACCAGTCGTTGCGATTTTGGACTATCGCAACGAATTTGGAATAAATCGCAATGCGAATTTGGAATAAATCGCAATGCGAACTTGGACTATCGCAATGCGATAGTCGACTATCGCAATGCGAACTTGGACTATCGCAATACGAATATGTAAATCGCAATGCGATAGTCGAAGTTCGCGTTACGATAGTCCAAGTTCGCAATGCGATAGTCGAAGTTCGCTCCAAGTTCGCAATGCAATAGTCGAAGTTCGCGTTGCGAATCTGGAAACTGATTTGCGATACCGGAGATCGCGTTGCGAATTATCGATCGCATTGCGATTTAGTTGGTCATTTTGGTAAATTTAAAAAAAATTAGTTAAAATCGTATATTATAAGACATTTTTGGTCACTGAGGTTATTTTCTCTTATAAATATGGGTAAATTACAAATTTTAAGTCAAAAATAAAATAAAACTTTCCGCTGTTGAAAAGCACCGACCTGGATCCACAACTGCCGGAGCCAACCCGAACCAACTGGAACCGGGTTTGTAGACGTTTCCTCTATAAAATCAAAATACCCAACACAAAATACATTTCACTTTCTCCAAGCTAACCCCACCTCCCCCCAAAATTTATCGTTTCTTCTCGGTCGTCCTCAATAGTAATCCAATCATGTTGACAGGTTCCTTACTCTTTGCTGATTTCTTACAGTGTCGCCCATAGTTAATGCCTCGTTTTGATTTAACTATAAAGGGCTTTCAATTCGGTTTAGTATTATTATTTTTGAATGGAACTGTTGCAGCTTTTTTTGGACTTCAACTTGTTTTTTTTAAATGGGTCAATTTACCCCCGATATGTTTTTATTTTTTTTCTTCCTGGAGGCGGTGTTCGATTCTTTTGTTCTATTTTTGTCCCTTTATTTGATGTTTGAGTTCGGTGTTTTTTTTTGTATGTTAGGATTATACTATCTGATATTGAATAAAGATTATCCGGGTTTCCGTTGTCTCAGTGTTTAATTTTGAGGGGTGTAATCTTCATATATATTTTTACAGTAAAGTGTGCTTGATGGAATTAAATTATTGAGTTCTGGATATTAAAGTAAACCGATTGATTAAGATGTCTATATTTCGTTAAAAAAAAATGAGCTTCATATACTTGAATTCTGCAGACATTAGATCCACTGAACATTTGAGAAGATCTAATTCTTTAATTCTATCAACAGAGTTTTGCTCATAAGCCTATATTTTTAACTGTATAAATAATTAGTTTTATAAGTTTTATGGGGATATTTAGGTAGATGGTATTTGAGAAAAGGTGAAAACTATGAACTACATTCAAACTTTGATGCTTTTGGTTGCAAATTACAGCATGGGTTTGCCTGATGGTTAGTTAGGAAAGGAATCAACTATCACTGTTGAGGTTTTACCAGACTACCAGTTCCATGGTTCCCTTTTATCCTACTAGTCATGGTGTTTGTATTTGATATTATAATTATTTTACTCTGAAGTATACTCTTTGAATGTTGTAGTTAGTGTGAAACGGCAAAAGGAACTCTTGAAGGCTGTGGAAATTGACACCAGTCAGCCTCCATATGTTTTCAAGTGTCAATTGTATGATCTGACTGGAGTACCTCCTGAAAGGCAGAAAAATAATGGTTAAAGGTGGCTTGCTGATGGTACTTGTTTTTTTTCTTTTCTTTTTAAATAGCTGGCATAATTACTGTAAAAAATGCTTTGTTTATTTATTGCAAAGTTGAGTGCTGCTTATCCTTTATTTGTCAAGTTATGGTTTTCTAACATATTTATTTTCAGTGTGATTCATGAATTTCTAAAGTTTACCCTTGACAATGTAGGATGATGCTGATTGGTCTACAGTTGGACTGAAACAGGTGAGCAATCTTGGTACTATTTACCTTTTTCCCTTTCATCTCATGCGTATCGACAGTTTTCAAATGAGAATGCCGCACCTTCTGCAATAATGTATTTGCTAGGGTCAAAAGCTGATGATGATGGGAACTGCTGATGAGATTGTTAAGGCCCCAGAAAAGGGCCCTGTTTTTATGGAAGATCTTCCAGAAGAAGAGCAAGCGGTATCTTTAGTAAGTGCCAATTTAATTCCATGTTTTTTCCCCTTTCAAATGAAATATAGGTTCTTGCATTGGGGATTATATAAAGAATATAATATGTCATTATTGTAGTATGCCTTAGTGTCATGGATGCCTTTTGATTTCATTGTAAGTCCAGCTTGTATCGAATTGTTTACTTGTGATCTACGCATTAATCAAGTGTTTGGAATCTTTCCTTTGATTTCATTGAACATGATTACGTGCTAATTGTTAGTCAACGGCTACTTGTTAAAGATTATAGTTAATGGGGGAGCCTATTAAAGATTATAGTGAGACTTGGATGAAATCATCCTCTACATTGTTTTTAGCTTTACCACTCTTGTTGTCCTGGAAATATGGCTACAAAGTAGCTCTTCCTCATATCAAAATAATAGCGATGGATTTGCCTATTATTATTTGCTAACTATTAATATTCTCATATTAGGCTAGCCTGACTTTCAGTTATCTGACCTGAAGTTTATTGATAGCATTATGTCTCCTTTTTTGGGGTGTTACGGATTGGTTGCAATAACTTGACTATGCATTTTTTTTTACTATTATTTTTCCTTCATCTTGTGTTAGTATAATTTTTTCCTTTTCCTTATCCTTGCAACTGAAGACTCTTACCTATTTTCTTTTTTTTTGTTGGTACTTTTAGGGTCATAGTGCTGGGCTATTTAATATGGGAAATACCTGCTACATGAATTCTACTGTTCAATGCCTGCATTCTGTTCCAGAGTTGAAGTCTGCTTTGGTAAAGTAAGTATGTTATCTGTACCTAACAATGCATTATGTGAGAATATGGCACTAGGTTTGTATGAGGTAGACATAATGTTACTGTCTTAACTGTGATCAGATATTCACATCATGGAAGAAACACTGATGATCAGACTTCTCATATGTTGACTGTTGCAACTCGTGATTTATTTGGTGAACTTGATAAAAGTGTGAAGTCAGTTGCCCCAATGCAATTCTGGATGGTTTGTTTCCCTTTTTCCTAGTTATATATTATTTGGATCCCCCTGCTCTATCTAATCTGTGAAGCTCATGGAATATGACTAGGTGGCAGAAACATATCTGCTAGTGATGTGAGATTTTTGTCGGTGTACTCACTTATATTCAGTAAATATTTACACAAGGTTAAGTTCATGAAAACTGTGTGATATTGTGACTTATCTTACATTTTGTGCCGATTCTGTTGAATTTCCTTAGTGATTTAATCTCTCTTATCATTTATTGCCGGATCTTCATGCAAATATTTTCTATGCTGTTGTCAACTGAATTGTTGTACCGTACTCCAAAGTTCATTAAAAGATTTTCTCTTCTGATTTTTGTTGCTATATGGCACTTCGTCTGAAAAGCATGGAAATTTATTATTTTTATGTATCTTGGTTTCAGGTGTTACGTAAAAAGTATCTCAATTCGTCCAGTTGCATAATGGTGTCTTCATGCAGCAGGTTTTTTACACAACTGTACATAATACTCCTGTACTAGATTTGTTTATATTCTGATATATAATTTGGAATTTTCTTCAGGACGCCGAAGAATGTTGGACCCAACTTTTATATACCATCTCTCAGTCTCTTCGATCACCAGGTTCCAGGTAATTTTCTTGTTCTTTTCCATTTGGATCACTAATACTCAAGGTTGTCAAGGCGCAGCCATAAAATGTAAAAATGCTTCAAAGCCTCCAAGGCGACAGAAAAGCTAGCTTCAATTTTGTAATTTCCTTTTTTTTCCTGACTTTGAAAATTAAAATATGGTATTTACTCTTGATTTCCATATTTATTATCTTACAACCAAATATCTCTTTTACCCTTTTCTTTTAATTATTTTCTCCCTCTTTGAAGCCTGTTCTCATTGTTTAAAAACAGAGAAGCTACTCTGTTTTAGTTTTCAAAAAACAGAACGTCTGTGTCTGCCACGTTTTTAAAAAATTTCTTGTAGATTTTTGTCATTGCTTTTTCTGCTCTATGTCTATTTTAAAACTTCTCTAGTAATTTTTTCATTACTTTTGCAATCTGTCATCGTAGACTGTCAGCCACTTTGCATGTTTGAAAAATGGGTAATTAGACAATTGGAGAAAACAAAATCTCAAATTTTAGACACCTGAACCCGACATTGATTTGTAAATAGATAGATCAGAACTGAGACCCGACTAGAGTTTTTTTTTTAAAAAACATGGACCTAAGATAAACTATTCAAGAGATCATGGTAGTGAAATAAATTTAGTAAGTGTCAATTTTTAATTACATATCACATTATGTTTTGTAATTAATTAGTGAATGAATTATTAGCATTAAATATTATAAAATTTAATTTACTAGTTATTTTTTATAAAATGAATTATTATTACAATATATATATATATAATATATATCTTATTTATATATATGTGTCTTATTTTACTGAGGCGAGTATTTTTCTTTTGCATGTTGTGCCTCAGACTAAAGAAGTCTTTGCTCCTTGAGTGTGCCTAGCGCCTGTGACAACCTTGCTAATACAAAGTTAATACTTATTGGTGTAAGTTTGAGCAAGTTATGGTGCACTTGGTAATTAAAACAGCTTCACAAAAGCCGTCACTTCATTGTATCAAACTTGCTCATCAAGATTATGTTTTTTTACTAGCTTTGGAGTGTTTTTGACATTACCAGCAAGGTTAAGAAACTGGCATGTGACTCCTTTATTTATGTTTATTTTTTAAATATCCATTAAGGACACATTGCCATTTCTTAACTGAGTTTAAAACCTTTACCAATGTTTCAAATAATTATCCTTTATCTATTTAGAAAATTAATACTAATCTCTCTTCTTTTTACAGTGAAAATATCAATACTGTAAATGACCTTTTTGGTGTTGAACTTGCAAGCAGGTAGATATCTACCAATTTGATGGTCTTATTATTATTATTATTTACTGTTGACATTATCAAATTAGGCAGTTTATATGCTCCAATGCCATGTTCTATAATTGTTCGATGATTGTTTCCACTATTCAAAATGTCAAATACTACTGGTTCATGGAAGAATTACGTATAAAAGTAAGCCATCTTTTGCAAACTGGGAAAAACGACGAAGAATATCAAGTTTCAACTACACTAGACAAGCAAAGCCAGAACACGCTTTACTTTCATGCCTACATTGGAGTAGTTCTTGCAGTTTCTAAGTTCAAGGGATGTTAAGATTTTTGTGTTCTTTATTTGGTGTATGTTACTTCTAAGATAGTTATTTACCCAATATTTGGCTGATTTGTCCACAGTTCCATGTGCTCAAGTTTTTGTATTACCTAGAATACATTGTTAAATTTGCTTTCATATTTTTTCTGCTTTTTTTCATCTGGTTCTTGATAAAGTACACTTGTTGCATCATCCACCGTGTTCGATTACTAGGATTCATTGCCAAGAGAGTGGTGAAGAAAGTTCTGAGACGGAATCAGTTTATTCACTAAAATGCCACATTTCACAAGAAGTGAATGAAGGTCTAAAGCGTGTAGGTTATATCTGCTGCCTTCTTTTCTGGTCTATACATGATTATTTAGTTATTTACAGTTCCTATTCTATCTATTATTAACTATATTCAATTGTTTGTTCTATATAAAGTTCTTTAACATTGTGGCCAAACTGAAATAATTTTCTGTCGAGGGTTTTATCATGTATATCATTTTACAAATTTATGATAATGTCTATTATTGTTCATTCTTCTGTAGTTACATCGACATCCTAATAAAGAATGTTTATAATTCCTTTGTTGTTTGAACTTTTCATTTTGCTTGAAGTACCCATGTTTGAAACTTGTGTTCAACACATATCCAGACATGGTATGGATATATTACACTTAGAGGATCCCCCAATTACATGAAAAAACTTGGAAAAAATTTAACATGTGTTGGTGATGCATGAGTGTTTAATTATTTCATAAGATTTTATTGTTTCAGTTTTATTTTTTAATTACCAGACATGACATCTAAGATTATAAGATATCTTTATGGTTTCAATATAGGGCTAGGATTATTAGTTATCTTTAGGGTCTTAAATCTAGGGCTAGGATTAAATCTTTGTGTGACCTAGTTATGTTGCTCAAACATGAGTACGGGTGTCTTACTCGGGTACGTGTCTATATGTCGGACTCATCAATTGAGTTAAACTCAAGACACGATGATACGACACAAAAGGATCCAAGAGGACATGGGTGTTGGGACTCGTTTTATATATACTTAAATATGATATATGTCTATAATACACCAATATTTATATCTAAAATATTATTTTTATTTTTTAACCATTAGTAATTGCAAATAAATATTGAAAACAAATATAATAGTTACCATAATGTTTATTATTTGGATGGATTTAAGTAACAAGCTTTAGGGCTTCAAACCCAAAACTAAGAGGTTGTAATGTTCAACTCCCAATCACTGACAGTCCGATAATTCGAATCATATTTTGTACCCATATACTTGTAATGCCGTGTTGACTTGGATGCAACTCTCATTTTGGCGAGTCCGAGCAACAGAGATCCCTAGTATAAGTAAGTTCTTGTCATGCATAAGAGAGAAGGCAAAGAAGAGGAAGTTAGACTCGAGGAAAGGAATTTGAGAATTACTAAGGAAGGGTTAGGGATTGCGAGGAAATCAATGAGGAAATTTGAGACGTAGGAATCACTTGATTATTAAAACAATAGATACAAAAGGGAAGTCCATTACCTATTCAGCAAGAAGAAAAAAGAACATGCATGTAATCCTCCAGCCCAAAGGAAATAGATGGCACAATACATGACCGTTAGAATTTGTTATGACCAAGACAACCGGCTAGCAGAGCTGTTGGATTCAATACTATTGTAAACAAATAAAACATTGTACTGCTGAGGCATTTTTCATATGACTTGAATGAATGAAATCTCCATTTCCTCTGAATTTTCTAGTTATTTTCTGCTTTCTCTCGATTAATTCTCTATTCTCTCTAGCTATAACAATTGGTATCCAGAGCCACTCTCCACTCTTCCTAGCAGCTTGTTAATTGGTATGACAAAGCAAAATCAAACCATGACTGAAACTTCTTGTTGAAAACATTTTGATATTTCGATAACAAATAAATGTGTTAATGAATTTTAAGATTTTATATTTGATTAAATTATTTGAATATTACAAATATTACTCAAAGTTTTACAATATCAATTTTACTCCTTATTAAATGATAAATTGAGATTCACATTAAAAATATTTTTGAAATATTTTTTACAAAGTGTTTCGAACTTGAATAAAGTCAAAAATGGATTTTCAAAGAGGTAGTACCGGTATTGCCTTATAGTAGTATTGATACCATAAACACGGTACCGATACTACTCGTTTGGTTTTGACTCCGAATTTTAACAGAATGCCAAAATGGTACCAATACCATGTTTCGGTATCGATACTACTATACATAGTAGTATCAATACTCCTTGGACGATATCGATACCACTGGCTTGCAACAGTTAAAATATTTGAATTTATAACAGGTAGTATCGATACCCCTTAGTGGAGTACCGATACCAAGATGCTCCCAACAACTATTTTGAGTGGAAAACACATCCCAACGGCTTCATTGACTCCCACATCTCCAACATTTTTAAATCATCTGAAGAGTATTTAAACAAGCTTTGAAGCCATTGGTGACCAAGAGATACACAAGAATTGAAAGAGAAACAAGAGAGAAAGCCTTAAACTTATTGTTTGAGCAAATCAAGCCAACATTCATTCAATATTCAATTTGCTTTCCAAAGAACACTACTTGTGCTTATTGTATTTATTTATTGAGTGTTCTTTTTTGTTCTTGAATTGTGCAAACATATTTCCTTGTGAGGTTTCCTTAAGTTTGCAAAATTTGTAAATTTCTCTTTGAGAGAGAGTGTCTCAAGAATTTGTGGTATAATTCTTGAGGGAGTTGTAAGGTTACTCTTTGTCCTCAAAAGAAAGAAAAAATAATGAATTTGTAGAAATCCTTAGTGTGGATAGCTAAGGTAATGGACGTAGACTTTGGTTGAGAAAGTCGAACCACTCTAAATCATTGTGTAAATTATTTCTATTTTCTGTCAAGCTTCCACCAAAATCTTTAATTGCCAATTCACCTTCTCTTGGTTATTTCATCCGATCGATTGACTCAACAATTGGAATCAGAGCCTTACACATTTGAAGGTTTTACCTCATCTTGAGAAGATCTTAGAAGAGTTCAATTGTTATCTAAATCATCTATGGCATCTACATCAAACTTCGAGTTCGTTCTTGATTCTCAACCCGTCAATATTGACTCAACAATTGGAATCAGAGCCTTACACATTTGAAGGTTTTACCTCATCTTGAGAAGATCTTAGAAGAGTTCAATTGTTATCTAAATCATCTATGGCATCTACATCAAACTTCGAGTTCGTTCTTGATTCTCAACCCGTCAATAAGCCTCCATTCTTCAATGGAGCTAACTATGCCTATTGGAAGAATAGTATGGAGTTCTTCATTCAAGCTAGTGATTTGGGAGCATGGAACATCATGATGAAATGTTACTATGCACCATCCACAAACACGGAGATGTGGAGTGAAGAAGAGACGAGACAATTACAGTTAAATTCAAAAGCAATACATATTCTATTTTGCGCACTTGGACCTGATGAATACAGGAGAATATCATCTTGTTCAATCACAAATGAGATATGGGATAAGCTCCAAGTCACACATGAAGGAACTGACGAGGTAAGAGAAACCAAAATAAGTCTTCTTAATCATAGCTATGAAAATTTCAAGATGAAACCAGACAAAGATATCAAAGCTATGACGGATGGATTTTTTGTAATTGTAAATGGTCTCAAGGGATTCGGAGAAATAATTCCCAATGAGAAGCTCGTAAGGAAGATGATCAATTCTCTTCCAAAATCTTGGCAATCAAAGAAGACCAATTATCGAAGCTAAAGACCTAAAGTCTTTAACTCTCAATGAGCTAATTGGTTCTCTTTTCACTCACAAAATGATGATTAAAGACGAGGAAGTTCAAGAGAAGAAAGACGATGCAAAGAAGGAGATAGAGAAGAAGAAGAACATTGGTGTTGCTCTCAAATCCACAAAAGATGAGAGTGATTCTGATGATGATGAAGATGATGATGATGATGAAGATGAAGAAATGACATTATTTGCCAAAAGACTCAGAAGCTTAATGAAGTCAAATAGAGGAAGAAAATTCCAACGAAATGAAGGCTTCAAAAATGAGTCCAAGGAGAAGGACCCAATAATATGCTATGAGTGCAAAAATCCTGGGCATATTAAATTTGATTGCCCATAATTGAAGAAAAAAGATCTTTCCAAGAAGAAACATCAAACACACGTGGATACTTGGAGTGATGATGAATCATCCGATGAAGAGGAACAAGAAGTAGTTAACTTGTGTTTAATGGCTACCGAGGAGAAATCTCAGGTAACCTTTAACTCATCCATGTTAGAAGATTATTCTTTTGATGAATTATTAGAGGCATATTATGAGTTGGCCTTGGAGTATGAGATCTTATTTTCAGAATACAAGAAAAGTATTTCAAAACTGAAAAATGAAAAAGATCTCTCATCCAAGACCAATAGTGAACTCAAAAGTAAGATTAAAGACTTGCAAGTCAAAATAAAAGATTTTGAAAAGAAAAATTTTGATTTGCAAAACTTACTTTCAAGTGTTAATAATGATCATCAAAAGAAAATTGATGATCTTAAAGTTTCTTTTGATAGAGTTG